TTTCATTGTTTTCAATAATATTTTATTTTCTGTTTTGTTGCTATTGTTGTAAATATTTATGCACAAAATTGTATTTATTTTAAACACATTCTTTATAAATAAATCGGAGGGGTGATCTGAAATGTCATTAAAAAAAAAAAAATATTTTTTTTAAAGAGAGGATGTTAACATAAGAAGTATCTATCTATCTATCTATCTATCGATCTATACTATCTATCTATCTATCTATCTATCTATCGATCTATCTAGTCTATCTATCGATCTATCTATCTATCTATCTATCTATCATATATCTATGGCTAGCTATCTATCTATCTATCTATCTATCTATCTATCTTAATCTATCTAGCGATCATCTAGCGTATCTAGGGCTATCTAGTGCGTAGTGCTATGGGCTATCTATCTATCTGATCTATCTATCGATCTAGCTATCTAGCTATCTATCTTCTCATCTACTATCTATCTATCTATCTATCTATCTATCTATCTATCTATCTATCCTTATCTATCTATCTATCTATCTATCTATCTATCGATCTATTCTATCTATCTAATCTATCTATCTATCTATCTATTCTATCTATCTATCTATCTATCTAATCTTCTATCTATCTTATCGATCTATCTATCTATCTATCTATCTATCTATCTACTAGCTATCTATCTATCTATCTATCTATCTATCTATCTATCTATCTATCTATCTATCTATCTATCTATCTATCTATCTATCTAATCTATCTATCTATCTATCTATCTATCTATCTATCTATCTATCTATCTATCTATCTATCTATCTATCTATCTATCTATCTATATCTATCTATCTATCTATCTATCTATCTATCTATCTATCTATCTATCTATTATCTATCTATCTATCTATCTATCTATCTATCTAGCTATCTTCTAGCTATCTATCTATCTATCTATCTATCTATCTATCTATCTATCTATCTATCTATCTATCTAGCTAGTCTAGTCTGTCTGTCTGTCTGTCTGTCTGTCTGTCTTGTCTATCTGTATATCTGTCTATCTGTCTATCTGTCTGTTTGTCTGAAAAAATTAACCCCATTTTTAAACTATATCTGGACTAAAAGCCTATTTTTAACAAAATCACATTGCTTATACTATTTACTATTCCATAATAACTTTAAAATTATCATATTCTATTAATGAAACTAACTTTTAATACATCCTCGTATTTAATTATATAAATTTCTCTGTAATATAATTTCATTTTTGAATTAATAAATTTAGTCGATGCAAAATAAAAACAAAGAGTGAGAGATATAGAATGAATGTAGGAATTATTTATGCGTACGAGTAGGTATGATTTTATTTTATTATACCATTGAATTGAATAATAAAGTTTTATAATACATTTATCTTAAAATGGTTTTAAATTGTAAAATATGTGCAAATAGTAGAGATTCACAAAAAAAGTTTATAATTGATAATAAATTTTACTTCCCAATATAAAATTTAAAATTTATTTTATTATGGAATCAGGGGAATTCAGCCAAAAGAGCTTTCATTTAGCTTGAAACTTTTTTTAAATTTAATCAATATTTTTAAGTTGGAGTTATATTAGAATTCTATTTGGTCCACCCTAATGATTGAACATGCAATCGTATAAACAATTACGAACAGGCAAGTAAATAGTGGTAAAAATATAAATAAAAATGCGTATATTTGCCAAAGGACAATTAAAAAAATAATATTACAACACATTCCCCTATTAAATATTTCCACATAATTTTATCTACTTACTTAAATTACTGATATTTTCATAGAAGCATTCAATTTAAATTAAATTTTAAGAAAATATTACAAAAAAAAAAAAAATTATATCGATTCGGAATCAAATTTCCAAGAAGTTCTAGTGCGATTTCCTTAAATAAACTTCGAACTTTCGCTACTTTTTAACATTTAGACACAATAGCATCATTTTGTATCAACCTTTATGTGAACACCCCTAATAGAAGTGTTTAAAATCATAAGTAACTTAATATTTAATGTATTTTAAATATAAATATTTCACTCATTTATGCTAATTAAAAAGTTTTGTTTGATGTGAGTTGTTGTGATATTTTTCCTGTTAATTTTTTAATAATTTCAAAACACACACATATGTATCCAAGTATTTGCATTTATTTTAATATATATTTAAAGTTAAAACGAATTTTAAATGCAAATCTCTAAATTCATAAATGAAAATTACATCTAATGCAACAAATTCATACAATTCATACAATGTAGTTTGGAGAATAAAAAAACTACTCTAAGTTAATTACTTTATTTTTGTTTAAATAAGCAGCATTAGAACAACATTTAATGGCAATTAATTAATTATTGAAACAAAGGAAAAATATTGTACAGATCAGAAGATCTTTTTCGAAATTCCCACTTTTTATACAAAATTTTCGAAAATTACTCTTTTTACAGAAAATTTCGAAATTCGCTCTTTTTGTAAGAAAATTTTCAAATTTGCTACATATTTGAAAGAAAATTTATCAAATTTTTGATATTTTCGAAAATTTTCGCAATTCACTCTTTTTATAGAAAATTTTCGAAATTTACTATTTTTATATAAAATTTGGAAACTCATACTTTTTATAAAAAATTTTCAAATTAAGTTTTCGGTCAATTACGAATTCACTCTTTTTATATAAATTTTTTCAAATTCACAAATTTTATAGAAAATTTTTCGAAATTCTCTCTGTTTATAGAAAATATTCTAAATTCACTTTTTCAAAATTCACACTTTTTATAGAAAATTTCGAAATTCATATTTTTTATTTAAATTTTTCGAATTAAGTTTTCAAAAAGTTTGGAAATTTATATTTTTTTTTTAAGAAAATATTCAAAACTCGCCTCTTTTAAAGACATTTTTTGAATTCAAAACTCATTCTTTTTATAGAAAAATTTTAAAATTCACTCTTTTTACAAAAAAATTTCAAAATTCTCTATTAATAGATAATTTTTTCAAATTTCTCTTTTTTTAGAACTTTTTCGAAATTCTCTCTTTTTATAGAAAAATTTCGAAATTCACTATTTTATAGAAAAATTTCAAAATTCACTCTTTTGGTTGAACATTTTGCAAATTCACACTTTTTTATAGAAAATTATCGAAATTCACTATTTTTATAGAAAAGTCTACCATTTTTATAGAGAATATTCGAAATTTACTCTTTTATAGAAAATTTTTAAAATTCATTATTTGTTTAAAGAAAATATTCGAAATTCTTTATTTTATGGAAATTTTCGAAATTCACTCTTTTTATAGAAAATTTCTAAGTTTACTCTTTTTAAAGAAACTTTTCAAAATTCGCTCTCTTAATGGAAAATTGTCGAAATTCTCTCTTTTTATAGAAACTTTTCGCACTCTTTGCAGAATATTTTCGAAATTAGCTCTTTTAATAAAAAATTTACGAAATTCACTCATTTTATAGAAAATGTTCGAAATTCGCTATTTATTCGAAATATATTCAAATAGAAACTTTTTCTTATAGAAAATTTTCGAAATTATAGATAATTTTCAAAATTGGCACTTTATAGAATATATTCGAAATTTACTCTTTTTGTAGAACTTCATTCTTTTATTAGAAACTTTTTGCAATTCGATTTTTCTATAGAAAATTTTCGAAATTTACTGTTTTTATAGGATATATTCGAAATTCACTCTTTTAATAGAAATTTTTCGCAATTCACTCTTTTTATAAAAACTTTTCGCTCTTTTCATAAATACTTTTCGAAATTTGCTCTTTTTATATAAAATTTTCGAAATTCGCTCTTTTCATAAAAACTTTTCGAAATTTGCTCTTTTTATATAAAATTTTCGAAATTCACTCTTTTTATAGAAACTTTTCGCAACTCAATCTTTTTATAAAAAAATCAAAATTCATTCTTTTTATATATTATATTCGAAATTTAATGTTTTTATAGAAATATTTCGAAATTCCCTCTTTTTAAAAAAACTTTTCGCAAGTTGCGCTTTTTATAGAAAATTTTCAAATTCACTCTTTTTATAGAAGCATAGCAATTTGCTATTTTTATAAAAAATTTTCGAAATTTAATCCTTTAATAGAAGATTTTCTAAAATTTCCCTTTTAGAACTTTTACGAAACTTACTCTTTTTCTATAAACTTTTCGAAATTCTTTCTCTTTATAGAAAATTTTCGAAATTAAATAATTTTATAAAAAAAATTCACCCCTTTTTACAAAAATCTTCGAAATTCGCTCTTTTTATAGAAAAAAATTTACGAAAAAGTTTATTTTTTATAATTGTCTAAATTCATTTTTTTAAAGAAATTTTCGGACATTTCCTCTTTTTTATTATACAAAATTTTCGAATATTTCTCTTTTTTATAGAAAATTTCTCTTTTTAAGTTTTCAGATATTACTCATTTATATAAAGTTTTCGAAATTTTCACTTTTTTATAGAAAGTTTTCGAATATTTCTTTTCTATGGAAAATTTGCTCGTTTTTATAAACAATTTGCGAACATTTCCCATTTTAGGGAAAATTTTTTTTAATTTTCAAAAAATTATTTTCTTTTTAGAAAATTTTCGAAAATTTCAATTTTTTATAGAAAATGTCTTTTTTATAGAAATTTTTGCAACGTCTATTTCTATTTTTATAGAAAATTGTAAAAATTTCATCTTTTTTTAATATTTTCTCATTTTACTTCGAAATATTCGTTATTAAATTTTCCAATTTTTGTTTGTCGCATATTTTTATTTCTCTCTAAATTTAATTTTATTTCTTTTTTACTCTTTATGGTAACATTTTTGAAATTAATTTTAAAGAGCACATTCCAGTTTTAATTTTTGCTTGTACTTTTTTCTTCGTTTTTGTTGCTGTATGTAGTTTATTTGTGGAGTATTAAAGGTAATTAATTCTTTTAATTTTATTTTATTTAAAAATTTTTTTGTTGGTTGGATTGGATGTTTTGTTATTGTTATTGTTGTTGTTCATTCTCTATTTAATTCACTTACCTTTCCTTTAATTGGTGTAGTGCTACAAATTGGATTTGTATTTGGCAGAAAACCAGCATTTGTAACAGAACTAGAACCAGCAGATTCAATGCCACTAACACTAATACCACCACCACCACCGATACCAGCACCTGGAGCAGGAGCAGTTGTACTACTGCCATTATTAACAAACCAGGCTGGTTGATGTTGTTGCTGCTGCAGCATGTGATGGGGATGTGGATGTTGCTGATGATGTGGATGCTGTTGGTGTTGTTGTTGTTGCATTGTATGCAATGGTGGTCCATTATATCGAAATGGTGGTGGTTGTTGCTGTTGTTGTGCAGGACCCATAAACTGAACAGTCTGCATATTCATGACTTTGGAAAGTAGGGTGTATATGTGTTTGTTGGTGAACGATGACTATGAGAATTGGTGAGATGATAGAATGTGTGTGGAGATGGCAATAGTTTTAATTGTAGTGCTAGTAGTTAATGATACAAACCCAGCTTGTTGCTACACTCACACTTGGGTATTCGGTTCAAGTCCATACATATACACACACACACACTTTAAAACACTTATGAATTTCTTTTCTGAGAGGTGCAGAGAGTGGGCGTTTCAGGCGTTTGGCACATACGAGACAGACACAGAAGCACAATTACAAACACACACACATACACAAACAAATTTTGTACACAATTAGAATTAGAAAAATCTAAAAAAATACAAAAAAAAAGAAACAGAATTTTAAAATTAAATAGAAATAAAATGAAAATAAAATTAATATTAAAATAAAATTTTATAAATAAAACAAGTGGGAAGATAAAGACGGTCTAAACCGACTATAGAGTGCACTACATATGAATTTTTTAAGGTGTTAAGGAGATAAAGGTGATTAATAAATCCTCTGATAGAAAATTTTCGAAATTTTCTCTTTTCATAGAAAATTTCTCTTTTTATAGAAAATTTTTGAAAATTTTTCTTTTTATAGAAACTTTTCGAAAATTTTATAGAAAATTGTCGAAATTTTCTCGTTTTTATAGAAAATTTTCGAAAATTTCTCTTTTTATAGACAATTTTCGAAAATTTCTCTTTTTATGGACAATTTTCGAAAATTTCTCTTTTTATGGACAATTTTCGAAAATTTCTCTTTTTATAGACAATTTTCGAAAATTTCTCTTTTTATGGACAATTTTCGAAAATTTCTCTTTTTATGGACAATTTTCGAAAATTTCTCTTTTTATAGAAAATTTTCGGAAAATTTCTCTTTTTATAGAAAATTCTCGAAAATTTCTCTTTTTATAGAAAATTTCTCTTTTTATAGAAAATTTTCGAAAATTTCTCCTTTTTTAGTCAATTTTCGAAAATTTCTCTAGAAAATTTTCAAAAATTTCTTTTTTTATAGAAAATTTGCAAAAATTTCTCTTTTTATAGAAAATTTTCTTTTTTTATAGACAATTTTCGAAAATTTCTCTTTTTATAGACAATTTTCGAAAATTTTCTTTTTATAGACAATTTTCGAAAATTTCTCTTCTTATAGACAATTTTCGAAAATTTTTATATTTTTAGATAATTTTCGAAAATTTCTCTTTTCATAGGAAATATTCGAAAATTTCTCTTTTTATAGAAAATTTCCCAAAATTTCTCTTTTTTATAGAAAAATTCCCAAAATTTCTAGTTTTTATAGAAAATTTCCCAAAATTTATTTTTTTTATAGAAAATTTCCCAAAATTTATCTTTTTTATAGAAAATTTCCCAAAAATTCTCTATTTTATAGAAAGAAAAACTCTTTTTCATAGAAATTTTTTTTCGAAAATTTATCATTTTTATTGAAAATTTTCAAAAATTCATCTTTTTTAAAAAAATCTTCGAAAATACCTCTTTCTTTATAAAAAATTAAAAAAATTGTCTTTTTATAGAAAATGTTCAAAAATTGCTGCTTTTATAAAACTGTTCCTGATTGTGTTAACTTATTACATGACATCTTCTGCTGTGTAGCGCAATGAAAACATGTTTTGTACTTACAATTTTAGTTGCTACTAATGTTGCTGTTTGAATTTAGGACACTTGTGCAATTAAATATTTAATAAATAAATTTAAACAAAAATGTTTAAATTAAAAATAAACTTTAACCTTAATAAAAAGCATACGAGCAGACACAAACAACTATAGGTTTTAGTTACAGATGAAGCAATGAGTTGCTTTTGGGGGGTAATAGAGTGAAAGGGCATATTAAAGATAAATACAATTTTTTAGATATAAACTTTTGACCTGTTTTAAATTAAAGTTTTCTTTTTCTACTGTTTTTCCTTGTTATAAAAGCAAAACAAAATTAAAATGTGTAACGCATACAAATCTAAGAAATTACAATAAATGTGCAGTTGAAATATTTTGTATGGAATGAATTCGTTTTGATGCAAGAAAAATCTAAGTATCGAAGTTTCCACAAACCTTCGTCCTTGAGAAAGTTATTGATCTCATGACAAAATTGTATCTTATTTTCGAGTAAGGATCTTTTAAAATGAAGCACTGCTTCAATAATATTGGGTACCACCCTACTATACATCTAACTACGAATATGTGGTAAAATACATTCAAATAATAAAATATAGAATTGCATTCGCTGTGAAATACACAAAAATATATATGTATATTTATATATGAATATATCTATGTAAATAAGAGTGCATGTGTGTTAGTGCATTTTAGTACTAGTCATAAATTTTTACTTATGTAATATTAGGCATCTGGCTTTAAAATTACTGTATTCAACATAATATATGAACTCATATGTGTCTCTTCGTATATTTGCCTAAAAAATTTTATAATATTTATGAACACGTAATTTTCTTAAAAAGTTAAGTATTTACCTATGCCCTTATTTAGTTCTTGTGATAATTACCAAGTTAATCGGAGGAGAAAGGAGAACGAATAAACAGAATAACTCACAATTTTTAATAATTCTGCATATTGCAGTTTGTTATGCCAATTTATATTTTGACTAAAAATCTACCTACCTACCTACCTATCTATGTATGTATGCATGTATCTGTCTATCTATCTATCTATCTATCTATCTATCTATCTATCTATCTATCTATCTATCTATCTCTCTATCTATCTATCTATCTATCTATCTATCTATCTATTCTATCTATCTATCTATCTATCTATCTATCTATCTATCTATCTATCTATCTATCTATCTATCTATCTATCTATCTATCTACTATCTATCTATCTATCTATCTATCTATCTATCTATCTATCTATCTATCTATCTATCTATCTATCTATCTATCTATCTATCTATCTATCTATCTATCTATCTATCTATCTATCTATCTATCTATCTATCTATCTATCTATCTATCTAGCTATCTATCTATCTATCTATCTATCTATCTATCAATCTATCTATCTATCTATCTATCTATCTATCTATCTATCTATCTATCTATCTATCTGTCTATCTATCTATCTATCTATCTATCTATCTATCTATCTATCTATCTATCTACATAGCTATGTAGGTAAATATTTTTCTCTGGCAATTTTAACTTTAAAAATTTTTCAATTCGCAAAACATAAATATTTATTTAGTAAATGGCTGTAACAATAAATTTTTACAAATGAATGTTCTGCAGTATCTGCAATATCAAGTAAATGCTAAACATTTAGAAAATTTCAATACTTTTGCGAATTGTTACGATTTAGATAGAAACTCATCAAGTGGAAAAAAGTTGCAAAAAAAATTTAAGTGGATTTTTCAATAGAACTTGTTAAACTAAAACAACAGGTAACAAATAGACATATATGTTGTAGAAATTTAAATATTTTTGAGAGACGAAATACAATTCATTTTAACAACTTGGTATTATTGAAAGTTCTGCAGCATTTAACTAGATTTAACTACATAAAGCTTATTCAAGAAATTTACTTATAAACGATTATTTTTTTATTTAAATTGTAATGATTTTATTTAAATTGTAATGATTAAACGTAAAATTTAGAAAACTATGAATTTACTATTCAATTTGGCAAAGTGATCCATTATTTTAACATCCCTATATAGGTTTATAATATTTTGCATATTAATATCAACATGTTGTATTAGTGTTATAAAAATTGCAAAATGCAGAGAACTTAACACTTATTTCATGCATTCAATACACAGATGATAATGGCAAAAGACCAACAAAATTCACTCAATCAGTCGTTACCATCCGTCAGTCAGTCATTCATTTATGTGCAGTAAAGGAAATAGGATTTTATATTCAACATTAAGCAGGTGTTTTAAGTACAAGCAAAACATCAAATGCAAAAAATTAAAAAAAAACTATCGAAATAGAACTATAAATGCAAATATAAATACAGATACTATTAGGATACACACACACATATATAGAACCATATAAAATACATTCATTTAACGAATTTTTCAATTTAAAAGGATGTTCTTGTTAAACGTGAATGTATGTATCTATGTGTGAATTGATATGTGTATTTGTATTTTAACAGATGTTAGTCAGATGTTTAAATGAAATACATTCAGGACGAGCAACAACAACAAAAAAGTAGTAAATATCATTTTATAAAATTTATTTTCTTTATCCATATAAACATTTGGTAATATGGCCCAATATATGTATTTGTAGTTATAGCCAAAGCTTGCCTGCTATTGTTAGATATTCAAATATTATTGTTTGAGTTGTATTTGTTTTATTGCCAATTTAAATGGATGAAAAATAATTTAGTAGAGAAATAATAAAAACGGATATTAATCAGCAATTCTTTTGTGTCATATGTTCTTCTTCAGATTCCAGTCATCTGTGCTGAGTTATTTTTTCATTTGATTGATCGTTTGATGAGGCAATGAAAAAACAATATCAAAATGTCATATTATTTAAAACAAAAAAATAAAATTTAATAAAAAGACGTTTTAGTTTTTAGTTTAGCTAAACAAAAGTTATATCAAGTACTTAGGGTTTTCATGTGACAAAACTTAAAATTTTTTTTATACACAATGTCCATAATTAATCTCTTCTATAGGAAATTTTCGAAAGTGTCCCTTTTTAAAGAATATTTTCATAACAAAATTTATTTCGTTATCGAAATTCTTATCAATTCACACTTAAAGTGCTAAACATACCCCAAGTTATTGTAAACTCAATTTCACTTTAATTAAAAAAACTTTTATCAAGTTAAACAATTTAATAAACTCCGGTGCAATTCCATTGTATATGTACAATATTTAATAAATCCATAATTTGTTTAAATTAATCAATTACAGTCGTGTATGTAGGTGTACGTGCGTTAAAATAAAATAAAAAATACCTACACTTTTACACACATACTCAATTAAATAA